CATGCATGGCTATTTGCCAGCAGTTGCAATTGGAGCGCATGTACTACGGGCAGGTTCGGACAACTCGTCCAACACACGTCTCCCTAAACGGCAGGGGGAGTCCCTGTCTAAGCCCCTGCCCGACGTTTTTTTCTACTTTTTCTTTCTCCATTGACCAACTTCTCACCTGCAACGTCATTATAGGTGGTCCTTACCCGCGAATTCGTTCCTGGATTGTTGCTTTAAGGGCATTGTGACGCCAATTTGATGCCAGTATTGTGCTTAGACACCCGATCTCACAAGGAAGGTCTTTCAGGACATGGAGCGCTTTTTCGAAATGGTTTTCTGCATATTGTAGGGGCTCATGCGAGGAACACAGAACCATGATCCATTTTTCCTGAAAACATAAATTGCAAAAATTTGTCGTCACGGGGATCGAACTTTGGACCATTTCTTTCCCGCTGTTTTGACATTCCTGGAGGCGTTCAGGAAAAATGGACCATGGTTCTGTGTTCCTCACATGAGCCTCTACAACATCAGAAAACCATTTTGAAAAAACGCTCCATGTCCTGAAAGACCTCCCCTTGTCAGTGACACTGAACCACGTCCAGGATGTTGTCGCGCTCCAATGTCAACGCAGCAAGCACATGACCTCAGCTGACGAAGCAAAGAATTCGTTTAACGATTTGTGCTGTGAAGGAAGGATTTTGTGTGCTATTTCTTTCGTTTGTTTTCCTTGTTAAGCTTGTTCAATCTAACATCACTTCGGAATAATCATGTTTTGAAATAAGCACAAGTTTTTGTAACCCAAGCATATTCATTGTCCAAAATTGAGCCCTTCATCATTTCTCGATTTAATACAATCGGACTGTTATCTATTCAACTGCAATCTTTCACAGATAGCCGTTTTCTTTCTACTGTGAAACTAAAGTCATCGCTTTTTTCCAGATAGACCTCGACCGACTTAATAATCTGAGGAAATCTCCTAGCATACGAGAACTACATTGGATGAATAGTGGAGGACGAGTTGGCCTGAGTGCTTCGTCTTCGCGAGAAGATCCTCCTCGTTCAAGAAACACATCCGCACGACGAACGTTCTGTAATCCTCAGGATGGAGCGATAGGAGTTTCTCCATCAACGGCTGTTCGAGGTGGGTGTTTCTCCCTCATTTCTTGAGTCATTCGCTTGGTTATGGTTAGGAATGTTAGTATAGAAAGTATGCGAAAATTGACTTGGTAGGCAGTATTCGGTGCTTGTTTTTAAAACGGGTAAGCACTTGTGTGGCTCACTAGGACAGAAAGCGACTTCTTCGCGTTCCGCAGCGCGAAACATTTTTCGCTGCGGGAACCTTGGGTCCACTGATTGGCGGGTTTACGGACTACTTGATTTTTCCTCAATGGTCCTGCCGCGATGGCTAGAGCACAGACGATTAGAGAACGGGTGAATGCCCTAGGACTAAGCCTTGGAGAGGAGAGGGACCCGCGAGAGAGCGCAGAGGCGGTTTAAAGGGCTGAGTTCAAGTAGACAAGACAGATAACAAAGGCCGCGGATTCACTGCTACCGTAATCTGCGTTAACATTGGTGCGCGCTGTAGCAAGCATTGGCGCGCCCTTTAAGCGACACAAGCATCAGCGCGGGAGCAGTGGTCAACCAATAAGTGAGAACCAATAAGTGACTAAGGCTTTCTTACCTCCTTCATAAGCCTAAGCCTTATGAAGGAGGCAAGAAAGCAGAGATGCTGTAATGGTGTGCATATGCGAGTGTGCCCACAGAACACCATAAAAACCTGAATCACCAGGCCCTGCGGTTGATAGGTGATTACGAGTATTCGCTTATGCCGCTGGCGCCATTTGTCGCCATTTGTGGCCACCTTGTCACGACGGCTGTTTTCACTAAATTCGGCGTAAACCTACATTCGCTTTTAGAACTGGCGCTGACTAACGCATACTTTCTGCTGTCCTGGACTCTTAACTTAGGTCTAGTGCCCAAGGTAAGCTTGTTGGGAAGGGGAACACCGCGTTGGGTGAATTGCGCATCGTGTAGTAAGAGATGAAATGTGTGAGATCACAAGGTGAGTGGCTCACCTTGCTCACCTCTGAGCCTCCTCTCGCCAAATGCTTAGTCCTGATAGCGATCAAACCAGTGAGAGGGCGCAAGCGACCAGGAAAACAAGTACCAAATGGCGCCAACGTCAAAAATGAATATCGTATTCGTAATCAGGGCATCGAATTACCCACTATGAACAAACTTCCGACGAAAAATAAAATTTTGAGATTTGGGGCAGTGGAATAGTACCGAAAATTGCTTCGTTTTTCAGTCACTGGGCGGATCGGACTAGTCGTGGATAAATTTGCTAATGGGTACTTTCGCTAAGTTTCAACGTCGAGTGCATAACCAATAATCATGATGATCTAAACCGTAATTAACAAATCCTGCTCACCGTGACCATCTAATCTGCACATTGCATAATTCAAATTACATACATCACGTGTTTTTGCAACCTCTTTTAATTGAATCTGGAACCTTGAATAAATGGAGGTCTTAGCTCGGCGAAACATAATGGAAACTGGGAAAGGAGTGAGAAATTTGAAGTCAAATCAATTTAGAACCATTTTCTTCGACGGAATCCATGTCTGACTATTCGAGTGCTGTAGAATTGCCAGTTTTGTTCAGGTAATGGTGGCCGTAGACGTTGGGCCTACAAACAAGAACCGCCACCGCAGGTGACGCACATCGCATGTACTCAGGTAATTTTGTAGTCAAAATTCTATCTTGCTTCCCAAGTCCAATTTTGTGGCATCGATATTGTGATTTAGTTCTTCGAATACCGGTGGTTGAGTTTGATTTTCTTGAACTATTCAGAAATAAATTGCCACCGTCATGACGAAGGTATTTTCTTTCCAGAACAATCAAAACCCTTCTATTCGTCGACAAAATTTTTCAAATAACGGCCGAGAAATTGGCTACAAGCGAAGGCGTGGACGCCGTAGCAGGAACCAGTCAGAGATCCACGGTTGGTACAATGTCAGTTCTGTTTATGATATTTCGCCTTATTACATTTGTTGTTTAGATATTGCGATCGGCGATGAATTTGCTGTTATTGAGGAGAGGAATCCACTAGAGGAAAGTTATCCTTGTTTTCCTGGCTTCGTTTTCGATCCGACTGCTAGGAAATATTTCAGGATAGCTCCTGATCACAGTGGGGTATGTTTGACCGTAGCTCAAATTATTTCATACTTCTGTTTTTATACTTTCACTTCTCGCTTCTTTTTTTCGAAGTTAGGGAGGGAAATAGCGAGAATAGGCAATAGTTTTTTGTTTGCATTTGCTCAGCGATTCGCGCCTTTGTGTTGTCCGCTGCCTTACTCAGACTGCCTTATTTAGATAGAATATTGGTCAGCGATTTGAATGTTTTCCTCTGGCATGTCTTTTGAGCTTTTCTCATTTTGAATGATACTGTTGAAAACTGTTTGTGCTCAAACTCAAATGCAACATGCTGATGTACGGAAAATCAACTAGATTGTTCAAGATCAATACGTATACACAAAAAGCGATTGCAAGAAGTCGACGGGAAAAAGAGCGGTGCGAACAGTTAGCCGCTTGTCGTTCTCAGGATAGTATTTCTAGTCGTCTGCGGTCAACTATTCCAACTATCACTACGGTTTCAGGTATTTTGAATATAAACCTGACTTTTCTGGGCTTAGCCTTCAAATCAATAGTACCATGACTGTTCAGATCGTGCTCTGGGCACCCGAAGCTTCAGCCGCGCGATCAGGAATGTGTATGAAAGCCGTCTGCTAAGAATTGGCTCTACACCGAATGCCATCCAAGAGGTCTCGTTTTAGAACATTTCTTAGCGTCTTAACGGTAACGTAGGTGATTTTGGTGTTTAAATTCATAGCGAAGCGACCACAGAGCACGGAAGAGCTACTGGTTTTTTTTACTTACAATTGCTTCCGTACTGCTCTAGTGTCAACACTGCACCCTCATCTTGTAATAGCTCTTCCCCTTCTTTTTTGTCTTTTTTGTTAGATTGAGCTCTTTTTACATTGCATACTGTACCGTCTCTTCGATAGAGAACTACCTTTGTACGTTCACTTGGGGGTTAATTTTCATGGTGCCGATTTGATTGTTGTTCTATTCTTCTATTCAGACATCATTGGGTTCATCAGGCGAGCACGTTAAAGGATGTCAGTTCCTGGAGCTCGTGGGTAACTGCGATGACTCTAAAGTGCTTGGTTGCTGGGCTATTGGAGATGGTTCAAGAAACAGCAGAAAGGCAGCAAAGTTCGCGTGCCTAAGTGTGCGTTTTGACGATAATTTAGCGAGGTTGGTTTTAAGATCTTCTTTTTCCCTTCACTTCCAAGTTGCCATTGTTTTGACGTTTCAGGAAAGCTGCCGCGAGCTTGGAAATGGGTATATCTCGTAATAATGGCATCTTCATGTAATACCCGTTGTATGTTGTACGTCTTGAATTTCTTTGATTTGCAGTGCAGTTCATAGATGTTCAGGGCTGGAGTTTATTTTGGATGGAGAGACCGTAGATGTGGCTCAACCAGTTCTCGTGGACATGGCAGTGGCTCCTGTTGATTCCGATGTGACTTGTGTTTTATATGTCACAGCAGAGTCAAGGTGATTTTTGATAAAAGAACCGCCTTCATGATGGATATGGTGTCCGTTTTGAATGTGGCAAAGCATTTTTCGCAAAATGCTCTAGCTCCTGCTTTACGTCCATCGCAATCCCGTTTGTTATTTGAACCGAGCTTTAGCCAGAGTGGTGTCTAGAATTCTTGCAAAACATTTGCCTTGTACGTAATGGGAATCGGATCCCATTTACTCGTGAAGACCAAGTTAATTCAGTGGTAGTTTTCAGATATTGGATTGAGAACACATCCTTGAAAAGTTACGTTCAGGGTTACGGGACAAGGAATTTCGTCGATGTGCAATGTAGTTTTACAACCGATGTCTGCATTATGTACGGATGACGATGATTTTGAAGTTCGAAATTCTCCCATCTACAACATTCAGTGGTCCGTAGAGTCATCGGCGATCTACAGTTGTGCATGGAACTCTAACAAAACACGTATAGCTCTAGGTTAGTCGCACTAAATATGATAGCATTTTTACAGTTTAATATCGCTGTATAAGGTATGGAAGAGTCTGCAAAGATTACCGATGTGATCACTGAGAAGTCATTTACAATATCAAGCCGTCGTCGAAATGTGATTAGCCAACATTTTGCTCCCGTGAGTCACTTGTTTTTCTCCTCTCTTTTTTGAAATCCAGTCAAATAATCAAGGTTCGTTCCTGAGGAAGGTCCGGTCGACAAACGCCCCGTAATCATTATTTGTTTATAATGTTTTTTCTTTCTTTATTGTGATTTTCTTCACTGGGCATTTCGTGCGACAATGAAGCTTGCATTTTCATCCTATCTTCACTTGTTACTTTTTATCGAATGCTTTTTTTTCTTTCACCTTTTCCTTCGCCAAACATGGTGTTATCGTTGAATTATGTTAGATCAAGTTCAGGATGGTAATTTGATATACATGGGCTTAAGAGATAGCGATGTAATCCTCTCCGATCTCCGAATGAAAAGTCATCATGTGACAGGATCACTGAAAGGTATTTTGTAATATTGGTTGTTTTCGGTTTTCTTTAATTGAGTTTGAGGAAACTAACAATTTTGTTAATGGCCAAAAAGTTTGAGTTGCAAAGCGGGCTGCAATTGAATTTTGAATGTGGAGACTATATTTCCATATGATACTTGCTAGAGAATGAATTTTGCTATAACTAGTATCAGCCTGCACCGTAGCCTCGTGAATCCACTCAAACCTAAACGTATCTGTTTTATTCCGATGTCAGACTTTGCTAATCGCGCGATTCGCTAGCGTCTGCGGTCGTGTCGCGGCCAGTAAATCACTCAGTTGGCTGGTATCGCAACGCGACCGCGCGGACCGCAGCGAACGCGCAATCGCGTAAACGCCCATCGCAGTCTGAACATTGGCCTTACGGACTAGATATATTGGTCTTTGGTATATTAAATGAGTGTCTAATGTTTTTTGCTCTTTTTTGAAATACGGGAACAACTGTGTGAATTTTACCGAATTGAAGTAGATGGTAATCATGAGTGAGCTAAGTAACATTCACGTTGAACTTGCCACTGTACGTCGAATATTCTTGTACCTCGAATATTGTATCGTTTTACGTCGCATACATATTAACCAGCCTAATTCCTAACCGCTGCCAAACTGCTACAGTCAGGATCTGTGATCTGTGAGATTTTCCAGTTTGCCGGTCGCTAGCTTTTATTTCTCTACAATTGATCTGTGGTTGCAATTAATATCAATCAAATGTGAGTTCCATGAGCAGCTGAATATTTTTCTCTGTAAGCCCTCAAAACCGTGTGTTATTAAGTGCTACACTCGCCTCATAGGCCTGATTCCTTTCATAGCCTTTTACCACACCGCAGCCACATTTCAGTGTTTCAACTTTGCCTCGTTGATAATTTTAAATAAGTAGTGATGCAATGGTAACTCATATTTCTTTCGTTATGTTTCTTTGGTGGTCTTTAATTTGAAACTTTTCTTTATTTGTGTGTCGATCTCACAGCTGTAATATTAATGATTTAGCTAGAGGAAATTTACAATAGTCTTCCAAATTTCAGAACTTCGAAAATTTGCAGGGCTGATATTTCTGTTAATGTTTTCAATGTTCAGGTTCCCGCTCAAGTGGTTGGATTCGCCAACTGCGCTCATCGTACCCTCAGTGCGTCCTCATAGAAAATTTCCGAGGAGAGGTATGACATGAGAAAAGCCTTGAACCAGGCCAAGCATAAGCAGTTTTGGGGTGATTTTCTGTAAGCATAATATTTCCAGTTAAAGTTGTATGACTCACGTCGATGTGATCGGGAACTAATGTCATTCAGCGGTCACAGGAACACTCACTTCCGTCTTCCATGCACTGTCGATTGCCAAGAGAATTTTGTCTTTGCTGGTTAGTTCTATACAATCATAAGTGTCCGAAGAGAGAGTCGGGGTTTCTCACGCAACTTACAGTGGGAGAAATGAGAGATCCCTATTTCTTTCTGGAGAGTAGGTCCGTATTACGGGGGCAAGTGGCTATATACTTCGTTCATTATCTCACTACACTAACCCAATATTATTTTATGCTCAAGTAGGTTCTAAACACCGAATATTTAAAGAAAAATAAATTCTGAAAAGTTTCGGAGGCTTTTGAATCTTCTGACTGTTTTGGGACGAATTTTTTAAGTCTCATGCTGTTTCATATTTTTGAGCGTTACTCTTGTAATTTTATTGCCCGAATTCGACTGAAAATGTGAAGTTGCTACAATGGAATAAAGTATGCGAAATATTAGGTTGTCTCATAAATAGTGTCGCTTTTTTTCAACCAGAAAATTTTGATCTGAATC